TATATATATATATATAAACTATACAGGTACTCACACACGTACATGCGCACACCTATGTACAACGATCCAGTCCAGTCCTGAAGCTGCGCAATTACTTGGGGTTCAGTTCTTTGCCAATTGTAGTGTTTGCGGTTCAGCGGTAGACCTGGTGGCCAGGGTGTGGCGGTGCTAGTCTTGGAGTGCTGAGAAAGCAAGATTGTTAGCAATCCCACTGGCACTAGCAGTCAAAGCATACTAATGTCAGCAATTACAGTAGTCGTCGCACGACAACAAATACAACCGTGGTAATGCTAGCCTCAATGGGAATGCTGGTGAGCGTTGAATAGCGGTGACTCTAGTATTGGTGTGATCATCGTCATGTCCGTAGTGGGGGCAACATGTGTACTGGCAGTGATTCTCGCAATTCGAGCAGGGCCCTTCTTCTTGTCCATTGCTTGTCCATTGCGAAAGCTGCTGTAGTCAAGGCATGTACCTAAATCGTATCTGTGGCCCGGGTTGAGGGCACAGGGACAATGACTTGGTGGCTGCTGCAGGGTTCCGCATGCTTTACGTAGGTTTGGGGACACAAGCCGCAAACCCTCGTGCCAGGGGTAAACAAAACTTTGAAGATACATTACACATGACCGAAACTTCAGACCCGAAAACTTAGCCCATGCTTAGCCTGTACACCAACTAGATATTGAAGAGAATCAGACCCCAACAAGCTCCGAGCCCTACCCTTCCATGAGGACCCCATGTGGAACTCCCCTCAGCCACGAGTGAGGGGTTTGGCCGAGAAGGTGCTTCAAGACGAAGCTCGTCCCGTCAATGGCTGTTTGGAAAATACACTTCCAAAACCCAAATTCCGAGCCTGTCTGCCACACACCCTGGACATGGTCTGGAATGTGCAATGATTCGAGTGCTTGTACTAGTACTGCTACCGCTACCGTACTGCTACTACTACTACTACTGCTACTACTGCTCTACGACGAAGACGACTACCTGCTGCGGCGGCGACTGCGACTGCGACTGCCACCGAGCTACGACAAGCATGACGAGGACGAGGAGGACGACGACGACAATGACGATGACGACGCCGACCACTAACGCCATCGTAGTTTCGGAGGTTGCAGATGGCAATCCTTGTCCCGAATCCCTGAACCGCTGCCTCTGATTGCCGATAGCTGTACTGTACAACCAATCCCCTGACCGGATAGCCAGTGACCCCGGCATGAACTGACTCGGCTCACGCGTGTGTGATTGCAGCAGACCAGCGAAAGCTGCTGCCCAGCAGCTTCGATAAGGTCTGAACCCCGACCCCCCCGCCCCCATTCCCACCCCCCGCAACACACAGAGCGGCGAGCGGATGGAATTCCAACTGAACGGATATACACATATGGTCCATTGGCATGTGAGAAGGGTTGAATCCTGGCTGCACCAGTCTCTCGTGGTCTCGGGGTGCAGGTTTGGCATTGCAGGATCTTGAAGCGGTGGAGAATTTCTCCAAGTACCTACCGGGGGATAGAGAATTTGGCATCTGCCAGAAGTTAGCAGCTGATTAGCATTGACTTCAAAGTTTAGAGTGAGCGCCTACGGGCTACAGGCATTCGGAGGTTCGGGCTCCACGACTTCAGGAATTCAGGAACTTGGGATGTGTCTCAAGCTTCCGCACCACGACTCGTAATTATTCGTAATTATCGTAATCGATATGTGCCACGCTGAAGACCCCGTGACTGCGTGTGACAGGCCATCACCTGTGACGTGGCTTGCGGGCCCTGCACGTTGCAAGTTCTGTGACAAAGTGAGGTGTGATTAAACTTTCCGGATGACAGGCATTTAAGGGCCAAGTGTAGGAAGGAGGTCGTTAGGGAGCTTCCATTGGTGTCTTGGTTCTGGTAGCGTTCACGTGGCGGTTTGGTTCCTGCGTCGCTGCAACAATTATGGGGTTCGGATTTCGATGCAGGCCTGCGGGTCTCACACCGATATCTTGAACAGTGAGTCTTCATGAGTTGATGAAATGATGACGAGAGCCCGCTTCAACCCATAAGCGGGGCATGGCTTCGCGCCTTCTTCTGGGCGACGTGGAGAAAGCCTCCCGCGCCCCCACATCCTGAGCTCCAACATCGAACAACCGAAATGCTACCCTCAGGGCTAATTTCCTTGAGATTTGTCTTGCACAAAGCCTGTCCTTGTGCCAGACATCGGCGACATGCGAGTGCCGGACTCGGAGGCCGCGAACTCGGACGTTGATTAGTTTAGGAACGTCGTCGTAGTAGTCGTAGTCGTAG